GAATCTACTGGGAGGCAGGGGTGTTGGATAGACAAGAAAGGACTATTTTTCCCTGGCAGGGGCTGGGAAGGAGGAGGGAAAGTAGCTCTGAGACTGGAGTAACCTAGGCCTCTTGTCCTTCGGAGGGAACGATATAGAGTGTGCATGCGTGCATGTGGGGGAGGGGTGGTGGTGATGGCATGTGATCTTCCTCTAAGGAAAAGCAAAACACAGTCAATTGCTCTTGAGCTCATTTCTTGCAAGCATACGTGAGCGTATGGCAGGTGTCTTTCTAGAACATACCCTCTCAAGGTGATATTGGTTGTGCTTAGAGGGACCTAAGCATGCTTGGTCAGCCCTTGGCCAGCCCTGGACTTCTTCCACGGGAGTCAGTGCCTTGATGTAGAGACATGGACTCAGAGAGCCTGGAGGCCGGGGGTTGGCTGTAAAAGCAGGGGGAGGTTCCTTATCGCCAGGGAAAGCTCTCTGTCCCCAGGCCTCAACCTTTGACCTCTCCTAAGTGTCTCCTTGGGCAACTCACCCAGCTGGCATTCGGACCACGCAGGCCCATGTGGTGGCCACAAGTACCTGATTTCTTACCATGTGACTTTTTAAAAAAAAAGAATTATTGAACTTTATGTAGTTATTAATTTATGCTAATCTGACCAGAGAGGGGCAGAGAGTGAGAGCAAGGGAGAGAGAGAGAGAGAAAGAGAGGGAGGATAGAGAAAGCAAGAAAGCAAGCTGCCAGGTCCAGGACTTGAACCACGATTGGCCATATGAAAGTCCAGTGCCCCTAACCACCACGCCACCTGCCAGTCCCACCATCTGGTTTTGAAAGGTAAAAGAGATAGGACCAAAGTTAATTGTGGAAGGAAATGGTCCTTTCAGACCTATTCTTTTCTTTTCTTTCTTTTTTTTTTTTTTTGGAGAGGTTTTTGCTATAGGGTAAGTGTGCTCGCCAGAAAGACAGAGAGAGACAGACAGACAGAAAGCGAGAAATCACCCCCCCCCCCAGGGGGGATGGCCACACTGCAA